GAACTTTTTATTAATTTTTAAAGCAGACGATAAAATTTTTTGATTTGTTAAGTTTATTAGGGCAAAAAATAAATTTGTAACTCATATGTTAAGTAGAAACAATTAATATACAACAATTTAAACAGCTGTAACTTGGCAAACAAAGATAAATAAGTTAAATTATTTAGTTGTGTAATATATGCAAAAGTAAAGACAAATCAATCAAAATTTTATATCAACTTTGAAATAATAAAAAAACTATGGAATTATATTTTGCAGTGAAAACACCTCGAATTTCCAAAACAAGTTTAGTTGCCTCTAAATTTATTTGTTGCTCTTTCAGTGCAAAGTGGATATGAGTTAACTAAAATTTGCTTACATAAAATTATTATCGAAAATTTAGTCAAAATTAGAAGTAAGGAATAGTTGGAATTTTTGAAACAAACATCTTCACGGAAAGGAGTTTTAAAAATAAACACATTTTTGGCAGAAATATCCTCGTTTTCTTTCATGTTAAGTAATATTGGTGGATTGAGAATAAGCAAAAAAGATTAGAACATTCGAAGCTTCTACAACGGTGCGGCCTGAAATATTTGTAAAGCCTTTTCAACGTATAAGTTGTTAAATTTTGAATAAATAACACGAAAAATTTTTTGAGGAACGATTTGGAATTTTCGGAACAGCTGTCATTAATGATGCTCTGATACTCTAACGCCACAGAATTATATCATTTTACTCTTTTCCACTATTATTAGCGTCTAAAAATAATATCTTAACCAATAAAAGAGCTCCAATCAAAACATCAGCCAATAATTCTCTTCACGAAGTTGCAATTATTACCACTATTCCCAAACTTACTAGGCGTTAACATAAATCTTAATTATTCCAGTGCCAATAAATCAAAAATTTCGGTGGAAACTAAACTATTTTCGGTTATGAATAGCGTTGCGAGTGAGAATATCTGTGTAAGTGAAAAGATGTGTGTCTCTCCCTACGCCAGACTTCTGCAATAAATGTAGTAATAATAATAATACCACCACGTACATATTAAGGTAAATGCAAATTCAAAATTATAAGAACCCGTTAACGCAAGCAAGAGGAAGCCACATCAACATCGTAATACCACCACTTCAGTGAACTCTTCATCGAGTTGTGCTCCCGAACCAACATCAAAGCCCACAAAATCCTGACCAAAGTTCCTTTCTAAGCTCAAAGTATTCGTTTGCGCATAATTTATTGTTCATAAATTCAATTTATGCATGAAACTTACCTTACGAACACACAAACACACACATACCCACACACACACTCACACGCCCTGCTTTGCACACAAACTTTTAGTTTCCTTATACTCCCATTTATAGGCGCAAGATAAAGTTTTCCCCTGGTAATATTGGCCATCCGACCGAAGCATAAAAGAAGGCGTCGAAAGGCTGTTGGCATGCGAGGATATGAAAAAAAAAAAAACAAAGTATCTAAACAAAAGCAATTCAAAATGCAGACGATGTAAGGCGTCTCTCAACTTAAGCCACACCTTCAGACAAAAAGTTGAAAACACGAAGGTGTTGTAAGCGTTGGAATGAGAGAATCTTTTGCTGGCGTTGAGAGTGTCTTGACTAGCGGTAACCACAAATTTGAAGAAACAAACCCTATAGGAATTTTATTGCCGGAATTCGTGGGCTGCCAAAGGTTTTGGGTTCTTCAAAGAGATATTAACTTAATTAACTTACTTCAGTTAAGATGTTAGAGCTTTCTTTAAAAGCTCAATTTGCTGAGGAAAAACATTTTAAATTGCTATGCTGAGCTCGGTGTTCACACCGATTCAATTAAGTTGACAATTAGTGCTCGACAGCAGTTATTGTTTTTATTATATTTTGTTTGTGAAATAAAAAAATATTTGATGAAAAGGAGTACATTATCCACTTTTAATAAAATGTTATTAGTTTATAATAGAAAAATTTAATTTTTCTATCAATTTAATCGACTTTTATACCATCGCTATCAACCAAAAATTTAGTTTAACCAGCTCACTCACCAACTTCCAGTTTATCCCATTTCCTTTGGAGCTTACATTTGGTATGCAAAATACGTTACTTAAAGGTGAGTTTAATTGTAATGCAATTACTGCTTTAATTTGCTAATTGAGTGCCTGTGTGAACAGCTTTTTTAACAAATTGTGGTCAGTATTTCAATCATAATTCATTTAAAGGACTTCAAATGACGAGTAGAGAACCGCGAAACTCACTTACATGGCAGTTTTAATAAAAATCGTAAAATTTCTCTGAGAAATTATCATAGCCAAAACATTCCCTTCTTGGTTAAGCTTACGTCTTACCTGCCACTGATTTTTTTCTTTATTTGAATTTAACGATATACGTTAACATATAAATGTAGGGTTAAATAGTAAATCTGGTTGGTGTTACACTCACAAGTTAGGAAACCCTGCGCTCTTGGACTACTGCTGTCAGACCTAAATGAAGCATTATTTATATTTCTTAGTGGAGTTAAGAAACCAAAGTTTTTTACACCGAAAAAGTTCTAATTCTGACTAAATACAAGTGGGTTCTATTAGCTTAACATAAGTTCAGGGTAGGGTGAGGTTCTGTTGTACTTGATCTTATATGCCTTCACCTGTAATTCAAGTTATACTTCAGTGTAGCACAGATTCGTTCTTTCGTTAAACTGACCTTGTCCCATGTAGAACCACCACACTTGGCTCATGCTCTATCCTAAACTAAGTTAAGCTAGGCTTATTGTGATACCTTTGATGATACGACAATACCCCACCCTCCAATCAGACCAATGTGAAGAGTAGGCAAAGCAAAGAAAGCGATAACTCGCTCTTGTATTTGCCGCTCTTACCTCTATATGTAATTTGATCCATAAGACCTATAGTTGTAGAAATCTCTATGACTTTTGGCGAAATAAGCACTAGGCTATCAGTAGGGGCAAAATTGCAAGAGAAGTGCTCTCGATAGCAAGTTTGACCTCCTACTGATCACCTGTTATGTCACTGAGCCAAACACCCTTACCCGGTTCAAATATTTTTTTAAGACTCCAGGGCTATCAGACTTGTTTGGCAATGCGAAAAGATCTGGAAACAATCCACTGAGACCTTCATTAAACCTAGACAATTGGCAGCCTCGTGTCTGATCGGGTGTTCTACTTGAAAAATACTATAGTGATTCAGAAGACTAAGCTTTTGATATAATGAGTACTTTCCGCCACCGAGTCCAGTATCTAGTTTAAGTCAACTCATATATTTGTTTTTTTTATTGTAAAACTTATTAGCTTGTTTTACTCATTTCCTACTCACACGCTGACACTCTCTCTCTCCGCTGTCTCACCGGTCCCGTGCATACGACCGCTGAACAACACACACGCTAATGGCTTAAGTGCGCTCAGTGTTTTATGGACTTGTAAAACACAATAAATGCATTTATTTGTGCCAAAGTCGAGCCGCCGATAAGGATGGGTAAATATAAATATTTATTCATGAGACGCCAACGTCACTCGCTAAGGATTTTGCATATATTGTACAAGAAGCCTTCGGCAGGTGAGTAAGAGAGTAGACGGTTTGCACGAGTTTTCAAATTGGAAATTATTGTTTCGCATTTGTTGTTTTAACTTTCTTATTTGTATACTCCTTCACTGTTGGAGGACACGGTCACAAGGGTTCCATAAGCACTTAAGTATGCTTTCAAGTTATTTGAAAATTATTTGAGTCCGATGTGAGAGGCATTGCAAGACGGAGAATTCGTTTGATATGCACGCTCACGTCACGAAAAGTGGGCGAAGTATTTAATAAAGTTAAATGAAAATACCAGTTACTTTATGCGTTGGAACCATATTCGGGGCTTGAAGATTTATTTACACAAATAATAAAAATTTCCTACAAATAGAGAACCACCATTTAATTCAGTGGAAATGCTCATCCCAGGTGTAGAAAGTAAAGTCGGTAGTGGTAGGCACATCTGAAAGAGAGCGCTTCACCTAAAGTACTCCAATCGGCACCTCACAGCAGAAGCGCTAGACAGAACGACTCGCCGACTAGCTCCGTTCGTCAATCACGGTGATTCCAAAAGAATCCCTTTATAAACTCTCTAACCGTGAATGACATAATGGAATGCATCCTCCACCATAGCAGACGATGACCTTAAACAAGGTCAAGGCTCAGCACCAACCTAGGCAGACTTCACCCAGATATACTTAATATGAAATTAGTACCCACATGGGAGCTTAGTAGGTAGAATAAATTTCTGTATGCCTTTCGAGAAGGATTAATTTTACAATCCTGCCTGTTTGAATTATAGATGTGGGGTCCTCAGTGTTTGGCAGATAGTTTACTTCTGTTTCCCAATGCATCGGAGGCAGGAGGATATACCCTTGAAGATAATGGCCTTACTCCAGTTCCTAGGAGCCTGACCTTAGCTTTGCCGGTTCCGATTGCTAAGGTCATGAAAGTTCTATTTAGGAGAAGTAGATACTTAGTTATCTCTGGATTGATCGGTAAGTTCTTAGAGTCAGGGTTTTCGCATTCTACATTTTTCTGGCTTCATACGCTCTGCTGTTCTTAAGTGGATTTCATACAGTGTTTACCCACCAACCTTGACAGCTTAAAGAATATTGTTGATGCTCCCGATTGATTGATCGCGATATCCCCTAGTAGTGAGAGTTTAAAGCTCCTTTGCAGCTTCCCAAACAGCTCTGTCGATATGTTCTTAGACATGCTCTCATTCTAGGTATTATCCTTTGTAAGCTCACCTCCATATCGGCGAAATCTATTCTCGGATCCCAAAATGAGAAATATCCACAAAAATTATTATTAACACTTAATGGAATACCTTTTGCTTTCCAAATATATGTGGGTATGAGAGAGAGAAAGGGAAATCTCTGTACTATACTTTACCATAAGGTACTCCCACTAACTTAGAATTTTCTCACCGATCTCAGTAATCTCGCCCTCTCGCACTAGATCACGTTAGCCATATCAATGCTGGGAGCAGTTAGTACGAGTTCAAGTGCTAAGCTGTCGAGTTGTGTCCGCTACCAAGTGTAAGTTTTTGAAATAATACTAGTCTTTGAAGCTTTATTTGTTGTTGTTGTTTAAAATATAAATTAGATGCTGATAGATGGGTGCAGAGCATTGCATGTTGTGACGCCAGTTAAAAGCAACAACAAAACTGGTATTTGTGTTTTTTAAAAAAATCCCCTGAGCAGCTTTTAAGCGCGCAAATGGCAGACTGTGTGGCAAAGACAGTTGAAGGTTCTGAGTGATTATATTTAATTATTCAATATTCATTTGCGGTTGCGTAAAGCAATGAAAAATTTCTTATCTAAAATTAGATTTGTCTGGTGAACGGCTGAATTAACAAATTTCCTGAATTTCGGTGTACGGATGGAAAGAGATTCTGAGTTTGCTTTAGTACTGGGCTTACCTTATATATTGTAGTTGGAGCCAACTCTGAGTTAAGTTTCTGTTGAGTTTATCATGGGAGGGACCCATCTAGAATCCTAGAAAACGCACAGTGATTAGCAAGCTCGGAGCTCTTTGTAGGTTGAGCTCTTTCCCGTACACTTTTGTGGTGGTTTTGGAGAAACTTTATATTGAAAGAATACTGTGGATGACTTCTGTTATGATCTAGCTATGATTTGCTAATTCCCGATGGTTGTTGATCACTTCCGCCAGTGATTCAAATACCAAATGGAATGTCCATCTTAATGATAGGCTTTCCATCATTCAAGCTCTTCGAATGCCCTGAGCCGCTGCCGAGTTATGCTCACATTTCTATCGAGTTGTACATAGGAAAGACCTGTAAAACATTTCATAAAAGACGAAGGGTAGCTATGTACCTATTTCTTAATGAATCTCTTCTACGCTCATTGATGGTAAAGTTCCAGAGGAACTCTCTCATGGAAAAATCTTAAACAGGACTTGATTTTCATCATTTTAAAGTTAAAAACTGAACTCAACTCTCCTAGATACTTGCCTCACATCCACCTTTAATTGAAAATCTGGATATATGGTTTGAAGTTAGGTCTACATATGGGACGAACTGAGTCTACTATATACTAGCACAAGCGGTTTTACCTCAATTTTTCAATAGTTACTGAGTGAACCAGTTAGTCTTAAGAGCCCAACAATAGTCGGAAAAATCTAATCTAAGTTCTGGAATGATGCATGAAATACTGAGCGGCGGGAAGAAATCTTCAGATGGTGTTGTCTGAAACAGAGCTCTCGAAAACAGACATCCCAAGCTTTTTAACCCTTTCTGATGTTGATAAAAGTACGTCGAGAGTCCTCAGAAGCATCTCCTTAAACTAATTTTGATATAATCCTACTTTTCCAGCAATCTCTTGTCGCCACTTTTCGTTACTTTAAGCAAATTTCCTCGGAGCGTGTTGGAAAAACAGTAAAAATGTTGCGTAGCTCGTCTACTGACAGCTCAAGCTCTGTGCCATCCTCACCAAGAATCTTAGCAGTTGACACTACAACAGCAGGCACCTCGGCCGATGAATCTTTGCATAATTTTGTGCTTTCACCTTCTGTGGTCTCGGACACATCGGGCGTATGCAGTGACGAAACGCGAGTCATATCTAGAGAAGCGTCTGTGAACTTAGAAGGTAGGCATTTCATTAGTCTCACATAAAATACTGTTAAATGAAAACTTTGTTTACTACACAGCGCCATTAAATGACTACGCAATGGCAAGAACAGGTCTGTTGGAGAGCGAGGCGCAGTGTGATGCCTTGCGCGAATTGCTTACCGATTACGAAATAAGAAACTTTATGCAGGTAGTAACAATTATGAGTCTACATAAGTACTCCCTCTAAGCTGCGCATCCACTTCGCGATTTTCAGGTCAGCCGTAGCCCAGAATTTCTCGACTTCACCATCGAACATTTGCAGCGTCTCGTGGAGCATGATGATTTGAATGTGCGCTCGGAGGCGGATGTCTTCTGGGCCATACGACGCTGGTATAAGCAGAACGAGGAATCTCGACGCACACACCTACCCAACTTGATCGGCTCCCTACGTCTCACACAATTCGATGTAGACTTTCTTTACTCAAACATCAATACATTACCTGGCTGTGAACTCTTGGTCAGCCGTGCTGTGGAGTGGCTACTACGACCCACAGCACGTGCCACAATAGCGCTGCGCTACACAAAGCCACGTAAGGTGTTACAAGCCGAAGAAGAGACATGCCGCATTGCGGTGCAGACGCGAGGTGATGTAAGTACATAACTAGATACTGAAATGAGGAGCCCCAAATACTAATATTTACACAACAGCACAGATTCGCCGACAAGTGCATTCTACGCTACAGCAATGCTCTAAGTGAATGGCAGAAGTGGTTGGAAATAAAGCTGGAGCGCAGTAACTTCGGCGTCGTGCAACTCGAGTGTAGTCTCGTCTTTATTGGTGGCTTGGGTCGCAACAACAAACCGAGCAATCGCGTTAATCGCTTCAATTTGAATACACAAGCCTGGGAACCGATGCCGTCGATGGAACAGCGTCGAGTTTACTTGAGTGTTGCACTCTTGGATGGAAAAATTTACGCCTTTGGTGGGCAGGATGAGAAATATCAAGCGTTGAACTCGGTGGAGATGTAAGTGAGATATGGGGATGGTTGGGGTGTGAACGAAAATCACTGAAGTAGCGTTTGACCAAACTTTCTAAAAAACAAAAAACTCGATTCGAGACCGTCTTAACTCATACTGCATTCATACTTACAGGTTCGATACCATCACTGGCCGTTGGCGAAGTGTAACCAGCATGTCCTTCCGTCGCGCTGGCACTGGTGCTACAGTCTTAAATGGCAAGCTCTACGTAGTTGGTGGCTTCAATCGCGCTCACTTGAGTACAGTCGAACGTTATGATCCCGTAAAAAATATATGGACGCAATGTGCGGATATGAATGAGGCACGCGGTTGGCCTGGGGTAACTGTACATAATGACCATATTTATGCGATCGGTGGTTGGCACAATGGCGCGCTAAGAACGGTCGAACGGTATAGTGTGGAGACCAATAAATGGACGACGGTTAGCTTACATATATTTTCAGACAATCTATATATATTTGTAACGAATTTGTATTATAAAGATTGCATGTTTGAATGTGGCACGTGGCAGCGTTTGTGGCATGTCCATGAATCGGGAGTTGTGGGCCATTGGTGGCTACAGTGAAGGTGTACTCAAAGATACTGTAGAGACTTACGATGCGGAGAATGATAAGTGGCTGGAACAGAAAGCCTTGCCAGAAGTTGGTAGATATGTGCATTAAGAAATCTATAATCATCGTTGTTCTTTGTTATTTATTGTGCAAACTGAAACAGAAAAAGATTTTTAAATAATAAATAAAAAATACTTGGATGGAATTCAATATGTAAAATTAGTAGATTAGTAGTAGATATATAGACTTACACCAACAATGGGCCCTTTGAAGAGCCTCTAGCCTAAATGAGTCTGCCGCAGCTGCTTGCTATTTAGAAGGCAAAAAGGAAATAGTTGCCAATTTTCTCAGTGAGTCTTCCTCATAAGGGAGTTTCCAATAAGAGGTGACATTTTTGAGTTAAATGATCGGGTGTTTATTTCAATGTAAAGAGGAAAATATGCAAATAATAATGGGAAATAATAACAACCAAATGGCTGACACGACTAGGTTTACAGGACCGTGTGGTTTTCATTAGATTTTCCTTTAAAAAATCCTAACTTGGCTGCTGTATGTCCACAACAGCTTCATAAATGCCATCTGTGAGATCTTGAAACAATCAGGAAACTTTTCCCTTAAAACATCGATGGTTTCGTAGTTTATGAGGCACGTAGCGCCATCTAGCTGGAAGTAAACGTTCTCCAGTTCAATACCATCCAATTTCGGCCATCAAAAATCATAAAATATCTCTTGTTAGCGCAAACCACCATTGGAAAAACTAAGGTCCAATTATCCCGCCATACCATAAGCCACAGCAAACAATTTTCAGTTGAAGATGAGAAACTCTTCAACAATAAACCAAGGGTTTTCCGAGCACGAGGTGCGATAGTTTTGCTTATAGACGTCGCCATCTAGATGGAGTTTGACCTCATCACTTAGCATGATTTTTCGTTTAAACTCCGGATCATTTTCAAGCATTTCAAGTACTCAATCAGCAAGGACACAATGTTTTTGATGATCGCCAGGTCTTGTGTTAACTGAACTTTAAAGGCTTTAATACCCTAGTCTTCATGCAAGTTGTTTCACGTCGACCGAAAATTGTGTTGGTTTTACGAACCGCCTCTATCAGGTTTCCACCATTTATATAGTGAATTTTAATAATTTCAATGCGTTGTTGAAGCGTGTATTGTTTATAACATTTGCTGGCAATTAGTATAGATTTGCGATTGGAATAATCAAAAAAAATTTTTTTTGCAAACTCAATGATTAATGCAATATTTGAGAGCGAAAATAGTGAAGAGAGCTATTTAATTTCCGTCTCTCACCCCAGTCTGACATTGATATCAGCAAAAAAAAAGAATTGTGCCGCAGCTCGCTGTTCAACTCTCACACGGATGTTCTCATACTATGAGAGCAGAGAGATTTTGTACACTGAAAAATTATTTGATTAAAAATAGTAGGTCTAGTAAAAAATAATCCATTATTTTTGCAATTTTATCTCTTCTTCTATGAGTGCCTTTAGGTGTAATCTAAATGGTGTTAGAAAGATGATATTTTATATTAAAAGTGATAATAGAAATCGTCGAGTCTGCACGTCATGCGAACACTGCCTCGATTGCCCACAAGCTAAGCGTTGTGCCAAAAACAGTTTGGAACCACTTGAAAAGCAGCTCTAAGTCTGGGTGTCCCATGAGTTAACGAGAAAAATCTAATGAAAAGAACAGCCAACTGCAAAACTAAATCGACCCATTTCTGAAGTAGATGGTGACTGCTGATGAAAAGTGGGTCACTTGCTGCAACATCAAACAAAAAAGCTCTTGGTCGAAAGAGAGTGAGTCGGCAAAAACGATTTCCCAGCCGGAATTGACGGCTTTGTTGCATATTTGGTGAGATTAGCAAGGGAATCATCCAGTATGAGCTGCTTCCCTACGACCAAATTATTAATTTGGATCCGTACTGTTAGCAGTTGGATGGTTTGAAAGAACCAATCGCCCAGTAGCGCCGCTCAGCTTTGGCCAAGAGGAGAGGAATTGTGTTTCATCAGCAAAACAACAGAACACACACATCAAAAGTGACTCGAAACTGAGATCGCAGTGCATGGTTGGGAGATCCTCATGCAACCACCTTATAGTCTTGTGCTCCCACCAAGTGATTAGCAGCTGTGTTTTGTCTATGGCGAATGATTTGACTGGTGAAGAATTGATCTCAAGAGAAACCTGTGAAAATAGATTATTACGACATTTTGACCAATACAAATAGGGTCTCGTTGGCAAAAAGTTATCGAGGAAAACGATGCAAAATCGAATAAAAATAATGGACTACTTTTTATTCCACTAAAATATAAAAATGGCGTTTTTTAAACGCTAAAGTGACTTTCTGCCAACCTCTTTCTTCAGACTGTGGATTGGGTCTTGATGTCTTTCTGCCAAATGAGGTAGGCTGTAGGCCCTATACTAAACCGTTTCCGAACAGCTGATGGATTTTTATGTGGAGCTTTGATTTTCATTTCATAAATACACCCGAAGGACTTGACATACCCAAATGTGGGTCGACGGCAACCAGAAAATTTAATTAAATTTTTTATTTAAATTGTTTTTCTGTAATTTTGGAATGTTGGTCAGACCAAATGTCCAACAATGGCCCTCCGAATGGCAGTGCGCACTGCTAACCACTCGGCTATTGCGACCGCCGCCTGCAAATACACTCCGGAGCATGCAAAAATTGTTTTCCCAATAGAATTCTAGTTTTTGTTTACAATTCCCAGCTTAGCGTTCTGGCAACTGAACTAAACTCGTTCCCAAGCTGAGCTAATTACTTTCATAAGCGACTAATTTGCAATGGTTTTGCAATGCCAAGTTAGCTGTCTTTGCTTAGTCGCTAACAAACGCTTGAGCGCAACAGACGCTTACTGGAAACGGGTTTTTATTGGCGCAGTTGTAATTGTTTAACTGATTTTTTTTCACCTTAATTTATGCAATTATTCCTACAAACTAGCTACGTGTTGCATTCGTAAGCATGGAAAACCGTTGGATAAACGAAAATAAACCGATTTTAGCGAAAAGTGCTTTACGCGCCTTCGACGGTGAAGAATCGGAAACGATAATTTTAAGACAATCTGACTTGGTGCAAAGTGAAGTGGATGTGATAACGGGAAATTTTGCTTATGCAACATATTTGGATTTATCGCATAATGAGAAAATTGGTAATAAATTGCAGTGCAAGTGTAGTGAGTGAGCGTGCAGAGAGATTGAGAGGGAGAGAGGGAGAGAGAGAGACATAGTGGCGGCGGGATTCTAAGAGTTTTAGTCATGCAATTCTGTCACTCACTTCATGTGGCGATTGCATGTCTCAAATAAGCGGAAGGCAATTAATTTATTAACAATATTTTTTATTTTTTTTTTAATTCTAATGCGTTTACCGGTTTTGCAAGCAGCGTTGACTTTGTTGTTGCTTTTCACCTGATTACACTTGGTTTATATTTATATTATTTTAAATGATTTCTTACAGTTGACTTAATTGCTTTATAATTGTAGTTAACCAAACCGACCGCATTGTTAGTATAACCGTTATTGAGTAAATTGATATAATTTTTACTATTATAAAATATGTTGAGAAAGGTTTTTGCAACAAAAAAACAGGGAAAGACGGCAGAAAAAATCTAAATTAAAAAGCGCCAAATATTTATATTAATTACAACAAAAAAAAAAACGTGTTTGAGTTAATATTGGCATAGTAAAAAGTAATCCATCATTTTTGCATTGAATCGAAGACTTTATTTCTTCTTCTTATTATTGGCGTGAGCGCCACTTAAGCGGTTATAGCCGAACATTTTAGTTAAAATTAACCGATTTGTGCCAAATATGCAACATTTTGTTCGATAACCTTTTGCCATTATGAAGTTCATGTCATTATTCCCCACCCAAAAAAGCCATACTCACTATTAGCAAAAAATTTTTACAATCGATTTTAAAGGCTTCTCTTGAGGTCAGTCCTTCATCTACCAAGTCATTCGCTTTAGACAGTAACAGCACTAACAGATCATAATCACTTGGTGCCCGGTCCGAACCATAAGTTGGGTCTATAAGAGCCTCCCAAGCCAGCTCGAGGAGCATTAAGTGAGTCACTATGGTTGTTTGTGGTCAGACCTTGTCCAGATGAACCACTATTCCTAACGTGTTGAAGAAAGCTGGGCACATGCGGGTAATTACTTCCTCCATACCGGCCTATTGTTAAGAGTTCTCTTCCCAATTATGAGTTATACCGAAATGAATTATTATTAAATGGATGATTTTTGTCGATACCACCAATTTACATAATAAAACCTGCCTGGCCGTCAGTCTTGGCTGGCAGACGGTTTCTGCCGCCTTACAGCCCTTCGATCACGATCATTTCTTGTTGACGTTGCATCAAGTGAACCACGCGATCATCGTCAGTCACCATCCACTTCAGAAATGGATCAATTTTGTTACGATTCAATACTGATTCACCGATGGAAATTCGGTCCATGAGGTTTTATGTCTATAACTCATGTCGCACTCAATCATGGAGCTTCTTCGCGTATTAAGCCTTTTTCAAGGTTTAGCTCCTGGTCAATTAAAACAGTATTCGCATATTTTGTCTCGTTCACTACCAGACTTATATGCTTCTCTATTCAGCGATTATTTTTATTTGGCGCATAGAGAATACTTGGTGAAGGGCTGATGTTTCAGATCTAAAGCCACACTGATAAGGTCCAATCAGTTTGATGAGAGTGGGCTTTAGCCTTTGACATAATCTACTCAATATGCGATTATCCCACGGTAATTACTGCAGATTGTGGCATTAGCTTCCAATTGTCGGGCATACTTTGATCCGACCATATTCTGGATAGAAGCTCATGCATGCACTTTATAAATTCTTCAACGGCATATTTAAATAGCTCTACCGACAATCCATTGGCCTCTGGCGCTCTATTGCATCGAGCAATAAAGAGAGTGTTCCCTCTATAAGTTCAGTATACTCGGAGCATTAGTCATAAAATCCCTTCTCTATGTAGAACCAATAAGGTTCGGTTTCGGTCTTGAAACCTTCTGTAAGTCGCTGTATCTTTTTGTAGGACTTTTTAGCATTACTCTTCTCGGTCAGCTTCTCGAGCTTTCCAAGCATGTTTGTCTCTTTCATTACTTGCTATACTCTTCGATTATCGATATATATCGAATCGAACTCCGCATGTAAAGTGGTCGATCGTAACGTTTCGAGGTAGGCAGCCCGTTTTTTTTTTCTTCATTTTGGTACGGTACTCTCCATCGTTTCATGACGAGCTTAAAATGCTGTCGCACAGTTCCCTTATACTGAATTGTTGAGCTGTTATAAAGCGAGACTCTCATTCACCGGTGTGAACGCCAGCACGCTGCGACGGAGTCTCTCTCCCACCACGAATCGACACCAAAACTGAAATACTTTATATGTCAGCTGTGAAAAATGTCACAAGGACCTACTCGTCTCCGTTTCCAGGATGCGGAATGTGAACGCAAGAGTAACTGCAAACCCAGAAGCTTAATTTCACCCCAAGCTCTTACTAGAAAATATATTATTTATGTGGATTGAACTACGGATGACTTCACTAACTCACCTCAGTTGTATCTAGTTAATAGAATGATTATCGAAGACGAAGTTCTCCCCGCAAATGGCTTAGGAACCTCTCTAACCAATAGACGTTTTAGAGATTTTTGGTTCGCTCTAACCCCTGTGGATCATTGCTAGCTAACCTTCGGCACTTGGTGAAACCAGCCACAGCTTTTTACTGAAAATTTTTAATTTATTTCCATAACAGTTTTTAACTAATATTCATAATAACAGTTTCTACTTGCAGAATATATCAAATTTCTGTTGACCCCAAAGACATTGTACCTCCAAAACTGCACAAGCTTAAGTGAGATAAAATACAGATTTAGCGCGTGCACTGTACGAATGTTAGACATAGCGGGTTGTCCGATTGATTACGAAGCACACTTCGGCAGCTATGATTTTCCGTTTCTGGAGAGCCTCACACTTAGCTGGCGCCCAGAGGTGGGAGAGTGGAGAAAACTATTGAGCAAATTGATGGCGCTAAAAAGTCTAACCATCGAAGAGCTATATGGAGCAGAAAGAGAGCACTCAAGCTCTAGTGCAATTGAGCAAGAGAGAGAAACACTCTTCACAGCCTTGACTGAATGTAAAAACATCAAATTCCTTACACTCGGTGGCATACCTTGTGAGTGTGATCTGAGGCATCTAAGAAAGTTAACAGACAGAAAGCTAGGCTTTTACATCAGAAACGTAGACCCCACGCATTTGAGGAGACTCTGGGAACTACAAAATTTGAATACGCTTTATTTTGAGCACACTGACAATGTTACCAACACAGACTTGCTGTGTTTAATAAGAACCTGCGCCAACTTAACAAAACTCACGCTGGATTACTGTGCTGGTGTGACGAAGGAATTCGTTTTCAAAGCTGCAGAGTTCTTGCGAGAGCGCGATAAAGATCAGCCATTAAAAGCACGCTTAAATCTGGAAATATGTGGCTGTGCTGGCATCACAGAAGAAATACAAGAGGTAGAGAGTGCATTGATGAAAGACAAGAAAATACTTAAAACTCTCCCTTTTCCTTTAGGACCCTCAATATGCCAGAGCAGAGTCTGCACTGAGTCTCATTTTGTACTTCAAGTGCAAGCATCCGAAGGGGAACTTCAGAACTGAGTAAGTAGACGCCACATTAGATACCAAGCGCATTCTATGTAAGTATTCTTTTTTTCATGTTATTCAGTCTCATCATACCCTACCCAGCGCCAAATGTACAACTCAGCATATATATTCTCTTCGAAATCTACAAGAAGCTAATCCACCAGCCGGCCGCGAAATGCTTTGCCTCCGTTTGTGCCGATTTCGAGAGCGCAGCCATTGAAGAGGAGCGCCATTTGAAAATAATCGCGTGCCGCAGCGCAAAGGTGGTGCGTAATGAGATCTACGATGCGTACTTGGAGATCACAGCCGAGAGTAAAGACTTTTTCACGAATGCGCCTTGCACGAATGCCATGAAAATGGTGCTGAGCAATCGTTTGCTCGTATTTGATACGATTTTAGATGATTTTCCATTGTTAAAGCACTTGAAATTCATAAATTGTGTTGTGCAGGAAAGCGAGCTGCCCAAAGAGCGGAAGTACTGTAATGTCTGTGAATTGGAAATATGTTGCGCGAATGCGTTGCCGTTGTGGCAGGCAATAGCACCGCTTTTTCCCTATGTCCAAGCGGTGTATTTGAACGATGAGTTGCTGGAGAATCCAATAGAGTTGACGCCAAGTAGAACACTGAGTTCGAGAAGCAGCTCGGATTTTCTTAATATTGCTAGATTATCTATAGCTGGTAGCATTTTTAGCGATGAGGATGTGGAATTTTTAACCAACCTACGGAATTTACGAAGTCTATCAGTCTTTGGGAATTCAAAAATTACGGGTGAGTTTTAGACCATAAATTATATTTTTAGATAATTCAATCAAACTTGATCTCAGTTGATAAGCCTTTTCGCTCACTTAGTAGTGGTGTAAGTCTTCGACAGCAGAGCTGAGCTCGCAATTTACGATATCTGTAAGTGTTTAGAGGTAGTCTAAGTTCTACTCATCAGAGCTGTTCTTTATTGGGGCAATCCAGATTTTATTGGTACTACTTTCCTTAGCTCAGAGTTCAAGAAGTCCACTGTGGATTCAATGATTTGCAAGGCTAAATGCGGATTTCCAAAGCTCCCTGTTCTCTTTTTTTCATGAGAAATTTTATGAAGAATGGGCTTCCTAATAGCCTAAACTCTGATGAGAAGAGGAACAGCCCAAACTCATTGCGTTATATGCTTATCTTAAAGTGAAAGTCTGTATCTTTAACTCTGATAGTCTTAGACTTACGATTTGGTTGAGTTAAAATATAATTCTTTGTTTTTTCTCTTCTTGATGCAATTTTAGGCACTCACTGCTCGAGGATCCACAAGAGTTCAATGATTTTGATAATGGAATGAATAAACCTCCATCTTCTCAGTTGCTGCTTTACATTAAAGTTCGTAACGATCGCAAGCTCTAATGAACTCTATCTGTATCGGAATAAGATTGTCTATTTAGAAGAAACTTCAACTTTAGCGGTCTTAGATCCAAAAGTTTGTTCAAAGAAATTCCTTTTCCATGTGATCCCATCTCTTAGGCTACTCTTTGCAGCTAATAGATGGTGGATATTGGGTTATTACGCCGAAAATACTTGATGCAGTAAGACTTAGTTTCTTTTATTTCTTTAACTCATTGACGGATAAACTTCGGTGCAAGTTAAACCCTGATGTAACTTGTCACTATCGGAGGGTTCACAAGACAAGAGCTTTTTGGTAGACAAGATTTCTTGTACGAGACAAATCCAGATATTTCATTGGCTCGATGGGTGAACTGCCGATCTCTAAGGTGTTCTTTTCCATTATCAAGAGCCACGTCACCTCGACGACGAGTAGCCAGATATGGTTGGTTAAAACATTACGTCGATTTGGTAAAATACTTGAGCTTGTCTGAATTGGTAAGACTCCAAAGTAACCCTTTCCAAGATTAGTAGACTTGTCTCCTTTTATGCTGGTAGTGTGGTGTTCTGCGAATGATGGCTCTCAAAAGGGAACCCATGCCATGTAGTGAACCCTTTGAATCCAAAGTTGTGTTCTTCATATTTTCAAAGAAAATGAGATCAAGACTGACTGCCGCCATTTATTCGAAATTTCTATTCACTGCCGAGTTCTGTAGTCGATGAGGGAAGCGGTTGTAGAGCCAGAATGGTTGTCTCATCATACGGAAGTGTCCAGTTGGTCAGACCAATTTCAAAAGCTAAAGAAGAAAATATAACTGCCGTCGTTTTCTAGTAGAGAACGTCTACTCCTCCGAGTGAGATAAAAGACTCTTCATAAAATAATTGGTAATTTTTTGGTGACTTAGGATTCACTTTATGATTTTAGATCAACCTTCAAGGCACACCATACAAACGAAATGAGGAGCTGGTGCGAAATATGTACACGACACTGGGATCCACATGTGTTTCCCACATACTTTATGAAAACTCATGTTGCAATGGTTGCATTTTATTTAATAAAAAATACATTATTTCAGGCAAACACATTGCCGAACTGAGCAGCATCGAGGAACTCCAACTGAATTGCTGTGAAAACTTGAACCAATATTATGTAGCAGACGTGGTGACCTCCCTCCCACTACGAGCGCTCGATTTGAGACGGAGTACATTCACCATCACCGCCACACACCTCACAAGCGAAATGTGGCTAAATTGCGCAACGTTGACTGAACTCAAAATCGACTGGCAGCAAGAGCTGACAATAACAACGCTAAGAATTCTACAAACTCTCCGTGATATTGAGGTGCGTAACCTACCAACACACGCTTGTGCGGCCTGCCTGCGGCACGATCTGCTGGCAGTTGAGATACCCAATCAGCGTACTGGTTATCAGCATTGCAACTGCCTGGCGGTACCACAAACCCGTTTGGTGAAAGATTTCTTTCGTACGCTCGTCGCACGCACGCGCATTACAAAGCTCACACTCGAGGCGGAAGTGCTGTGTAGAAATCTTAATTATTTGCAACTGCTACAGCGGCTAACACATCTGAGCATCGTTGCTAAGAAAACAACGCTCGATGTCTTTCGCATATCGCCGAACTTCTATCAGACTATTGGTCAACTGAGAAATTTGGTGTATTTGTATTTCGCGCACTTCTACTATTGCTTCGATGGCGTTATACACATTGTGGGCCGTTGTGCCAAACTCAGAGAGCTCAAACTGAAGGAGTGTGTGGGGTTTTCCGATGTAGTGGTCTACGACCTCGCTGAGGTGTTGCAGCGGAAACGCACGAAGGCGCAATTGCCGTTGAACTTTTTCATGCAGAACTGCAAGGATGAGTCAAGCGATGCGGAGAGTGAGGTTAGTTTTGATTTTGGAGGAAATAAATGATTTTTGTTTTGTTTTTTTCTGTTTTTGGTTTTTAGGCGAGCTCCAGAGACGGTACTCAGGATGTAAGTCCTTTAAAAGTTAGTTTTATTAAGTATTTTCTTTGAGAAACCCTTATTTTTTAGGTCCAGCGCTTTGAGGACATAAAGGACTTCATAAGAGTTAATTTTATATAAAAAAAGCTCTGAAGCGTGAAAGAAAAGGAATCAAATATGTAGCCGGAGAATTAAAACAAAATTTATTAAAAAAAGTCATGTTCAGTTTATAATAACAAAGGAAAAAAGAAAGAAATGCTGATACTCCAAAGAAAAGTAATGAACTTCTTTAAATCAAGTCCTGATACTTTCCAAAGCATCGCAGGGGATTATCTATGGGCACGGCTTCTCTGAAGAGCAGCCCTACCTAAGAAGTCCTCTAAGTCCCGGACTGTACAAAAAATATCCATTTACAAGTACTAAAGTAGAAATCTTGGCAAGCTTTATTAAAAAGACGTCTGTTGGGTGCTCAGAACTCAGACAGCTCCATTATTCACTAGGAGGGCTTCACTATTTCCTGATCTATGAAGTTTAGTTTGAAGCAACCTCAATTGTGTGGCTAGCAGTGCAGCTCACCATGTGAAGAGTAATGCATTCGCTCTGTTCAGACCAACCACCCTAATTTGTAGAAAAAAGTTTTCTGAGTATATTTCAGACATGAAAAAAGCCATCCACCGTTCTGAAGCGACATAGAACGAACTATACTATAATATAATAATACGAAGGCTGGGTTATGAAGGATTGGAACAACTCATCACACCATTGCAGATTGCTGTCTACGAAGCTCTCGGTGCATTTCAAATTTCAAACAAGTAAATTCAAACGTGTTAAGAAGGAAGCTTATTTCAGCACGCTTCATTAACAGCTCTTACGTCATCCATCAGAGGATCCCAAAAACCTATGAAGGGTTTTCCGGAGAACTCTCTATCTCGTTGTGAATGTCTTACAACTAAGAAGTATTCACTGAAAACCTTCCTAAGTGATACCAACATAAAATAAAATCAAGACTGTTATACTTTGTGGCACTAACTGAGATCCGGAAATCAACAATGTTTCTGCAAATTCTTATCAGACCCAATGAGGCCATCTTTCATGTGCTTAGCCTCCATTAAAGTTGGTTCGAGCGCAATTTTCTGCTGTCGCTACGCCTCTTTGCCACAAATTAGCTCGCCGCCTGTCAGCTTCTTGGCCATCGTTTCAAAAAGGAAGTCTACCCCCTGGTAGCAGGTCTCCCTCACTTGATTGAGGGATATCTTGCGCATTTTTTTGGGTATTGTATGCCAGGCTGGCACTTTATTTTGATTTTTACTCATGAGAGCTTTAGATTTTGACGTCTCAATTTTACGTAATTGTAGGTACTTTAGCTCGCAGCCGTTGTATTCACTGCTGCAGCATTCGTTGTACTGTAACATGTTCCACCGAAAGTACTTTTAAGCGGCCCTTAAGAGAAGACGAGAAGAGTCTCTTCATTAGAGTTCGTTATGGGTCCTGTAGTTCGATAATTTATCGTCGCTATTGTTGTCGAACTTGTTTCTGTTACATATGTCGTCACTGTTTTATCCGTTGTTGTTGTTGAGTTTTCTTTGGTTGTAAATTTCATGTTTGGTTCAACGAGTAGGCCGGAAAGGTTTTGTCAAATCACCGCAGAGCCGGTAAGCGTTAAGAAAGCTATTCAATATCCACCCGCCGATCATACACCCATCAACATAGCCACCTCGAGGCTTCGGCCTCATATGGAAGTGGGCATGAAACCGCCGATATATGCATGAATTTTCGTCTGGCGGAAACTCCAAAGTTTCCCATTTAGCTCGTAGCAGTACTGGACGTTCGCTATTATAACTCAGCCACTCTGACTCGACATGGCGTCCAACGCTGTAGAGGTTACAGTGATGGTATGTGTAAAAGGTTCAATCAGAGCTTCCCAGGTTTCTCTGGCAGCGAAAATTCTTTTAATTAAGTAAAATCCATACATTACACTTTCCATGCTCTTCTCAATCGCTTATTATCTGGTCGGCTTCGACTTATTACAGGAAAAAGAAATTATTGGCGAAAGCCGCAAATTTTTGCTAAATAACCCGCAATTCTCATACACCGCTTGTAAGTATTAAAACGGATTCATTCGGTGAAGCCCGAAGCGTAGTGAAAAAATTTCGAAAGGAATTTATCAACTCGACCCTCACATTATCACAGTATCCAAAAATATTATACCTACATTAATAGAATCTCACATTCTTTTTATTAAAGCAAGAACATGCTGCCAACACTAGAGCTTTTAACACACCCTTATTTCTTGAACATAGCAACACGAGCGTTTTCCCTAATTATTCTACGATCTCCTTTCGCCTAACTACCTTCCAGTACTACCCTGTTGAGATAAGCCGTATAAACTTTAAGCCCTCTTTGCTCTCACCTCTTTTAGGGGATATTATTCCTAAAAATGTCAATCTATGTATGGCGGGGATTGCCGAGTCCGCCGAGTATATGTCTGACATGAAGAATGCTGCTCATATCAGCCGTCCGTAGTTGGCAGTAGGATCCTCCATTTCTTGGAAAAAACATCAGGATACTCAACACTAATTGGAAGAGGAGCTGGGCTGAAAGTCGCTGCAGCGCTCATATATATATAATCGTATATCTGTGTTCAGCACATTCTTACATCTTTCTAAGCCAGTAAATCAAGACCAAGCCAGCAGTATTTATGTCCCATTGATTTCATCGCTTATTATTTATTGCCAAAGGTGGATGTCTGTCTCTTTCTATCTCCCTGTTCATCAGTATTATCTTAACAAAGAAGAGTCTTACTATTATAAGGAAGACACTCATCAACACTAAGGTATGATTCCACATTTTCTCTGAATATTGAATTGTAATCCTCAGTATCTGCAAATAATTTATTCATATCCTTGGCTACTGAGTTTTTGTATTTGTTTTTCCTTTCATTCTCTTTGTTTAACTTTCAATGGTTTGCTTTGTGTTTATCTACAATATGAGTCTTATCAATACATGGTATGTCATCGTCGTCTTCAACATAACAAAAGAAGGTAGAAAAAATTAAGAGAAAATATTAAAAAAATGCATTTATTTAATTTATTAGGGTGGTCCCACAGAAACGGAAAAGTATGAAAAAAAATCAGGTGATTTTATTTCCAAAACGCTCAAACCGTTGGTTGTAGAGACGGTCCAAATATTACATAAATCTATGATCTTAAGTGAAATAAATGATTAGATTTAGGAATATGGTTTATCTTCGGTCTCAAAACAAGCAAAATTCGGCTCTTCGGTAGCTATCCAACTTCAGCCGCTTCTCTTCTCTTTCGACTACGGTTTTGGTTACGGCTCAGATGGAAACTCGACGCTGGTTAACTGTTTTGCAAATTAAATCCATGTTCCATAACCCATTACAATGCATTTTATGGCTTTGATAATTGAATGAACTCAGCCGCGATCTTTTGGTTATGTTAGGAAGCTTCGGGTCGCTGCTTTTTGTGAAGTTAAAGAACACTTTTGTATACAGCTTTAAAAAATCCTCCAGTCCTCTGAGCGGTAAAGCTCCTTCGGTGTTTAAAACGTAATCTGGATAAGACCAAATAAGCATTGCGACCGTATCAATCGCACCGTCTCTACTCTCCAAACGCTCTCTGCACGTGTTCAGTGGTAGTCATGCTCATTCGACTGACGTGTGATGTCTCTAGGTTTGGCCCATCATCAGTCCTACCACTCTTCTGCAGCTATTTGGGATCGGTCAAGACGGTCTTGCCTTCTTGTTCCGTTCAGACATTTTGTCACACACTGATCCGTTCCCGAGAGCCTTGGGTTTACAGAGCCTTCAGCGGCTTTCAAGAAGCGAGATGCTAGGAATTTATATAATGAAATACCGTAAATTTGATATGATTCTGAAGATTTGAGGGTTTAGAAAACAACTCTACTTTCTTGTTTATTCTAAATTTCTTTAGTGACTTTGAAAGAAAAAGAGATAAAAGCCACTGGAGGCCACACAATTTTTTTTTATAATTTCCCATCGGAACTTTCCTTGAGACCACCCTAGTATGTAAGCATATATTTATGCACAGGTAAAACAACTTTTTTTTTTTGGAAAAAATGTTTTCTTTTTTCCTATCACAACTTTTTGCTCTCTTTTCGCACTTTCTTCTACATTCATGTTCTGCTCAGCTTTTCCCACTTTTTTTTACTATTTTCTTTCACTATTTATTATATATAAATAACAATTGATTTATTATGTCCGCTTTGTTGTTGCATACTGCTTTCAATATTTGCTAGTGAACGGTCATTCATTGAATTGCTTTATGTATTTTTCGAAAATTCATGCCGAGATGTGTTAAAGGAGCCTGGTGCTGCCGACCGACTCACACAGAGGACTCATTGATTACATTCAAGTGTTTCATCACTTGATTTAATTTATGTTTTCTGGGCTTCAGTGAGTGGTATAATTTTGTTAGACATTTTTGTTGTTGTTATTAGACTTTATTTTATTTATTATTTTTTTTTGCTTCAACTTTTCGCTTTCTTTTGATTTTATTTTTCTTCACTTTTATTCACCAACTTTCACTCTGCAAGAATCTGTCTGACTCATACTTGGGTGAGAGATATTTATTAGGCGTAAACTATTGAATTGACACAGCTGACTTGTCTCCTACACACGCATGTACACACACACACACATATATATATATATATATATATATATATATATATGTATACATATATATATACTCATACACATATTATTATTTATAAAGCAATAATTTGCACTCAAGTGAGAATAGAGCATTGACGTTGCCTTTGTGTTTGAGTAAATAGTTTATGATATCCTGTCACGTGCACATTTTGGTTTATTTGATAGGTAAATTGGTTGTAAATTATGAAGAGGATTTGCTGAAGGTGACAATATGTGAACGCTTGTATAGATAAATAGCTGTATGTAATTTTAACCAGTCAAACTCTCGAAGACTAAAGTCAATTTAAAGTTGAGAATACACATAGATTTGATGAAACTGGCCCTAATAATCTTGAGAAGCTCACTAAAAAACAAAATACTCGATATTCAAGCCGTTTAATTGTAGTAGATCTGGAAAATCAAACTCGATAAAGGCCATGAATTGAAATTTTACCCTTCTCATGCTTTTAAAACAACGAAAGAAAACTCAAAACCACTAACTACAAACAAATTCAGACCAACAAGCCAACGAAGACTTTAAGCACGTAGTCATGT